AACTGAATTGGTAAATTTTCCAATACTTAACTACTTTAAGAAGATATGGTATTTTGATATTTTGACACACTATAAAGGCTGTAAAAAATAATCTCTAAATAAAAAAATGGTTCTATAACAACAGAAAACGCAATTAAAATGATTAATAAAAAAGCTTTAAGATTTAAATTTAAGTTCAATCAAATTATTATGGCTTGGTGACTGATGGTACTAGTATTATAAAAAACTGTTGAATGATGTTCATCAGTTTTGTCACTCACATAGTATTCATCATGCTGTTGTTGTCTGTCTTGATGTCCTTTACAAAAAGAAACATTTAGAAGAACTTAAGACTAAAAATGACAGAAGAAATCAATGATTATGATAATGATTTTGACAATTATCAAAGTGAAAAATGGCAACAAGAGTTGGACAACAATTATGTTATTTAAAGATTTTGTAAAACTTTGTGAAAGGAGATTGCCAACCAAAAATGATATTCTTTAACAACCCTGTTTGAAAGAGATCAGGAAGCAACAAATGAATGATCTTTGAGACAAAAACAAGATGCTCCAATCTCTGGAAATAAAAGATGTTTTATATCCAATTCTCAATAATCTGTTGTTGAGTAAGTTAACAATTACTGAAAGTAAATCTCATCAAATAACCTATTGTTGAGTGAGTTTATAATCACTGAAAGTTAATCTCATCAATAAATCTGTTGTTGAGTGAGTTAATAACCACTGAAAGTTAATCTCATTAAATAAACTGTTGTTGAGTAAGTTGATAATCACTAAAAGTTAATCTCATCAATTAATCTGTTGTTGAGTGAGTTAATAACCACTGAAAGTTAATCTCATTAAATAAACTGTTGTTGAGTGAGCTGATAATCACTGAAAGGTGTAAATAAGGGTTCTATGTAAATTGTAAAGATATTGATTGCCAAAGGAGAATAAAATTGATGAGCTTGATGAATATTGATTTCAAAATTTTGTGACTGTTAACCATTGATAAACCTTTGATCAATAGACTTAAAATAACATTAAGTGATGAAATGATTAATATATTAGGTTTTTAAGGTCATATTTAACGAGAAATAAATTATTTGCTTTGATTCGAGCTAATTATATATCACCTAAAAATTTACATCAACTATAGGGCTGTGGCAAGGTACAGTTAACTGGTAAGGTACGTTTAAGGTAAAAAATTTATGAACTTAATTAATTAATGATAAGAATAAATTTAATTTTTTATAAATCTGTTCATAAATTTATTTTTTTATGAGTTTTGAAAAAAAGTTTAGTTTATTAAACATGGCTGCACTTATGTTTTTCATTTATTTTCAAGATTTTGGAAAATTATCACATTTAACTAATTCTTAATTTTATTTTTTATCAAAAACCACAATTTAAAGTTACATAGTAAAAATTTTGAAAAGCAGGAAATCTTATCTGTTCTACTAGCAAATTTTTTAGCTATATCGACTGATTTTACAACACAGAGAAGCACTAATTTAATTATAGTGAAATTTAAAAACTTCCTATATGTCAAAATTAAATTTCAGAATAGAAGATATAACAGGTATTATATTATAATTTACTAAACCAAAAAAATAATTTTTTAAAATTATTTTAAAAACCTTATTTACTTTAAATCAAAAGAAAAAAAAATGAATTACCTCGTATCTCTTTTGGCTCTTTCTTTTTGTAACTCATTATATTCAAGCTATATCCTCCGCTTCAAACCCATGCTACATCATCTGTAAGAATCAAGTACGTAGTCTCATCCATCCAAATATGTATGCAAACAACAACTTTTTTTTTTTTAATGTTACTTTATAAAAAAAAATTTAGTAAAAAAGAAATTGAAATGAAATAAAATCAAGTGCAATTTGTATAGGGAGATAATAAACAGATGTATAGGTGTATATAGAGAATAAACAGATGTAAAGTAATATGATATAGACATACAGGTAATACATAAATATAACAGATAATATAGATAGATATAACAGATAAAAAAATAACAAGATATAGACATAGAGATGAATAAAAATGTATAAGTAGATATAAAACAATCAATAAAACAATATTATAAACATACAAATAAATAGTAATGTATGGGGAGATAAAAAATAATAGGGCTCTAAGATACAGATAGAAAATAATGTTTAGAATGAAAAATAGATAACAAAATAAGTATTAAGTATTACAATTGATAAAATTTATACTATGTTTATATTTATACTATAAATATGTACAATTTAAATACATATAAACTTTTTTATACAAAATGTTAACCGAAAAAACGATAAAAATGCGTTTAAAAAAAAAAAAAAATTCTATTTCTATTAGTCTATAATAAAAATATGAAATTAATGATCTTTAATCTAATATAAATTTCCTAATGTAATTTTTTGATATTTATATTAGATTATAATTAACAATTCAAAATTAAAAAAATAGAACAAGAACTAAAAAAAAAAAAATTTTAATATTTGTATAATAAAATCTTTATCTTCAAACTATATATGCATTTTTTGTTGTTGTTATTGTTGTTGCTTTTTGACATTAAAAACACAAAAATTTTAAGTAAAAAGACATTTGAATATTTATTAATTTTATATTAAGACGCAACACAAAATTATTTGTTCATTACTAAATTGGTGTCCTGTATAACACAGGGTTCATTTTCTTCAACTTGTTGATTCATTTCAATTTTAGGTCTTTCAACTTCTTTTGGTAAATTGATCTCATTAAGGTCTGCAAGTGATATCTGAAGATCATTGATTACACTGCCAACATCCAAACTAATAGAATAAAATTGATGATGATAATGTTTTAATATAAATATACACATATACATACATAACATATATACATATACATACATAACATATATACATACCTTACTTATACATATATATATATATATATATATATATATATATATATATATATATATATATATATGTATATTTTTTTTTTTTTTTTTTTTATTTTACTTCACCTCCTTAAGGTCGAGAAGGCCACTACAAACGAGGAGGCTACTTATTTTGTGGCTATAACCCTCTCTCAACTCTATAACTCCGAAACATGAACCTTGACGAACAAGGCCGCTGCGCGGAGAAACGAGTTGAGCGCGGTACTACCAGGGACGTGGTGGGGATCCAACTCGGAACCACTCGTTTATGAAGCGAGCGCTCTACCACTACACCACTACCGCATTATGTGTATATATATATATATATATATGTATATGTATATATATATATATATATATAAATATATATATAAATATATATATATATATATATATATAATATATATATATATATATATATATATAAATATATATATATATATATATATATATATATTTATATACGTTTATGTATAAGTAAGGAAGTTATTCCATAGTTAGTTTCCATAACATATACACATATGTATATGTGTATATGTTATGTATTTATATGTGTATATGTTATGCATATATATATATGTTATGTATTTATATGTGTATATGTTATGCATATATATATATATATATATATATATATATATATATATATATATATATATATATATATACATAACATATACACATATAAATACATAACATATACACATATACATAATAATTTTAGACACCAACTCAACTTTGTTAGCATTATACCATTCCATTATTGCTCAAGCATACTGACAACTGGATTAATCTGGTAAAACGTAATGTAACACTTGCATGAATAAATTGAAGGTTTAACTTTACCCAAGTCATCCCCAATTTTAATAATAGATGCCAATCTTATTTTTTCTTAAAGAGTATTGATTGAACTAATAAAACCAAGTTCATCAGCATTAAAAAATCATAGGCATTAAAAATTCATTGGTATTATACATTTGGCTTTGGTTATATTTTAAGAAAATGGTTGAAATGTGAATAAGAAAATGGTTAGTAATGTGATTTTTTTCCCAAAACACCATGATGATTACTTTACTTGTACAGGGCTCAAAAATTAAGCGTATTGCTATCCGAAATCCTGATTGCTTTTCACACTGACACAATTACTTTGTTCTTTAAAAAAAAATTTTCTTTAGTTATTCAACAGTTAGTAGAGGTCTGAAAGATATATACATCATTTTTTAAATGTATTTTGTTATGAGTATCAGACATATTTTTAAACATGGAAATGATCCCTTTTTGCAGTAAATGAGTTTTAAAAATAAAACAAACCTACTAAAATCTTAAAAAGTACTTTATTTAGGCAACACTAATTAAATAATGCTGTTTTATTGTTTTATTATCATAATAAAATGCACAGTACAACTTAAGAACATTATTTATTCAGTAGGTTGATCTTCTTGAATGGACACAGTAGTTACACGCCATAACGTTATTTCATTCCAAAATCAGAGCTTTTCATCAGAAATATAAACCAAAGTTTTCTTGATATCCACAATTTTTAAGTGGTTGATGAATAATACAGCTGAATAGGCTTAGTTGGTAGTTTAAAGTCACATATAGTGCTTCATAAGCGAAAAATGTCACTTATCAATACAACAATATGCATACTGCATTTAATCTCCACTGGTTCAACAGAAGAAAATGACATCTCACAATATTTTGAGATTGAAAACATTATTTTGTTAGATTTTTGTACATATTTCCCATAAGAGTCATTGCTTAAGCATGTTCTCTTGTAAAACTTGGGCCACCAGGCCCCATAGTCATAGTCATATATTACATTTTTTTCACAGTAAACTTTCCAGGAATTTTTGAAGCACTGTTAATCAGATTAATTACTTATTCAGTTTCATAATTTTTTCACATTTTTGAGTTTTCTCTTTATAACTTCAAAATCACTGTTATTAGGCATAAAAGAATGTCCCCTAACAGGAAACACTAAATTATTTTTTTTAAATCTCTTAGTTTTACAAAGAGCCATCATCAGTCTAACAAGAGTGTGGTTCTTGTTTTGACAAGAACAGTTGCCATCAAAAAGGTGAAAAGTTTTAACTTCACCTGAAATTTTGTTTTTTATATATAGTGTTCCAGTATAGTGTACAGTTTCTGTAGGATATTGTTTAATATAAGCTCTCAAATGAGTGATTACAGTGCCAGGAATGACATTAACAGAAACATTTATGCCTTTCATCTACTGAAGTTTTGCTTAGCTGTAACAGATGTGAGAGCCTGTAACACTGTTTGGAAGTACATCTGTATGATTTTATAAACCCATTTTAACATATCTTAGCACAAACCCCATTGTGCATAATATGGCACTTCACTATGAAAGATTAAGGTTTTGCAGAAGAAGAACCTAGTAAAGATCTTTGATGTTTAACTGGGGAAACCTCCATTAGTGACTGCAAGTAGATGCTTTGTTGAGTTTTGGTTTCCATATCATGTAGTTTGATAATTATTTCCACCATGTCATCAGCTGTGTAAATCTTCAAACAGTTTTCCTTGCAACTGAAATAAAAAAGAAAAGGTTGGGCCTAACTATGTATTAATATCTATGTTTGAAAACACATAAGCTAGGTTTCTACCAAAAACCCTAGGCATTTCCTAATTAATTAGGAAATTAGACTACTAATTGGTTACATGGCTTTATTTATTCTAAGCTTTGTTCAAAAATCATAAATGCAAGACACAACATATAACAGTATTTAAAAAGCTTTCTAGATGAACATTACTGAAATATTATAACAATTAATACATATAAATTGATAAAAGCTTACCTGCAAACATTCGATGCTGGTTTCTTGGCTGGTATTGTTTTGCCAACCACGTTTATGTGTTCTTTTCCTGCAACTTTAGCCTTCTTAATTACATTCCTTTTATATCTGTCTGAACTAAAAACTCTTTTCTTTCTTCTCTTTAAAGGATTGTTATCTTTATCTGAACAACTCATTTTAACAAAGAAATTTGTAAGTCACAAGCAAAATGTTACTACTTTATGTTACTAATGTTGACAGCAGAAAAGGAACAAGACCCGAACAGGTCTTCTTTTCTGTAGTACATGATTTAGTTTCAACAGAAACAGTTTTGAACGTATATTGTTATAACCATCAGTTTTTTTTCCTAACCTCATAATCAATGTATTAAAACTTTCAAAGTTCATTTCTCAGCAAATTCCATGTCTTTAGAATTGAAAACTAAAGCCAAGACAGTGAGATCTCTACAACAAACAATCAGAAGTTATTTGAAGATATTTTAATCTAAATTTTTTAAATTACTTAAAAGTTGATATTTTTGGGCCATTTCTCCACACCATTAAAGATCTTTTCCTAGTTTATAAACCAGATGGCAACCAGTTGCTGTTTGGCACCATATACTTTTAAGCAACCTATGACTTAGAATATATTTTTAAATGTTTTGTATTTGACTTAAACTGTTTTGCATTTAATCTTTAAATGTTTAGTGTGTACTTTTTACCATATTAACTTTGAGTTAAATATTCAAGCATACTATATAAATGAAAACATTCAAAAAAGATGATGACTTTTAAAACTCTGTACTGAAATTGCAACTAAAGGTCTCATTTTAAGAAAATGAGAAACATTTTTTTTGTTTTGACACCTAGTTAGTTTTTATTCTTCTGTACATATTTTTTTACCTTCTTGATGGTATTTTAATATATTTATCAGCAATTAATAAGTAAGTTTAGTAAGAATTCAGAAAGATCATTAAACTTTTAGAGCTGTAAAATAGCATTAAGAGATAACAAGAAGATTTGTGTTTCAAGAAATGTTTCTTAAGTCTCCCCATCAAAATGCACATTGATTGGTTATTCATATATCAGATACAAAAAAAAAAAAAAAGCATTTTCAAAATATAAGTCTTTTAATACCCTTTGTATTGAAAAAACTAAATATTAACTAGATGATTTTCTGCTAATATCATTAATGCAATTTACAATATAGTACATTGGCATTTGATAATAGCATCTTTTTGACACTAAATGCAATAAAGTACATTGACAAGATTAATAATTTAAATAAATCTGCAAAAAAAAAAACTTTAATTAAATGACTTGCTACATCATTTTTTTTTGCAATCAAAACTGAAATTGATTAAATACTTCAGCAGTTTGTTAAGTCTTTAATACTGATACTGATATTTTTCAACTTTTTTCTAATACTTCTTTATTTCTAATATTTCAACCTAAACTGTTGTGCTGTGCGATTCAACCTTATAACAATATATTCAAACATAAGTTATATGTTAAATGAAAGTTAAATTAGTTTTAAAATATTTTTCAGTGTAAATAATAAAATCCACGCAAAGAAGTTTATTATAGTTTATGATTTGTATTATGTAAAACTTGTTTCCATTTAAAATGTTAAAAGATTAATATTATTATTTAAAATATATAATTTATTTATTTATTTGTAAAAAATGTTAAAATAAAAAATTCTTAAAATTTTATAATGAAATTAAATGTTTTTCAACCTGGATAAAGTTGGCTTATCATCAACGACAGGTTGATAATTTAGAATTTTGAACACGTTTATCTCTGCTTTTTTATCTTCAGGTGTTATAAAACGAACTGCTTCAATTAACCCAGCAAAAGGAAGGCTATAAATTAAGAAATAAACTATATTATTGAAAAAAAAAAAAAATTAAACAAAACTTGTTTAAAAATAAAAAAATTTAAAAACTTGAACAAAGAAAGTAATTTGAAGTTAAAAAATTTAACTTTAAATTTAACTTTAAAAAAATACCTCATCCCTGTTCCTAATATTGCTCCAACAATCATTTTCCTCCATCCACTAAAACAATTATAAACAACGCCAGTAACAGCTTAAAAAAAAGTTAATTATATTAACAATATTTGAAGAATTAACATAACAAAGAAAACATATAGAAAAGATTAACATTACAACTAACATATTGAGAAAACATTAACATAATGACTAATATAATGAGAAAATGTTAACATAATGACTAAACTAAATGAAAGTGTTAAATTCTGCGCAAAACATGTTAGTATTATTATTATTTTTTATTTTGTTTATTTAGAAATCAATAATATTTATAACAATTTTAGTCCATGAAGAATAAAATGTTTGTAATATATTGATGAAGAGGTGCAGCACTAGTCACCTCCATGCTGACAAATATTGGACAGACAATGTGTCTATACTTATATATTTAGTGCGCCGGACCAACTTTTGAATGCGTTGGTTGAAAAGGAGTTAACAACGCTTGATGGTAAAACATTATATGTGTTGACTACATGATTTGTGAAGAACTTTTCTCTTTTGACACAGTTCTTAACTAATGGCATAACAAGTCTTAAGCTATTGCCATAAAGGTTATACTGGGAAATCGTTTGCGCATAAACTTGAGGCACAACAAATTCAATTTTCTCAACATCGTGTGCAATTTTATATTGCTGAATTAAATCATTTCTAACTCGTCTATCTTCTAGTTTGGTTAGGCCTACAATTTAAGCCTTTTTTCATATGATTTATGTTTGATGTCTATGATCAGCTTCATTGCACACTTTTGAATGCTTTTTAGAACCTTGATGTCTCCCTTCAGATGTGGTGACCACAATTGGATGGCGAATTCGAGGTGTGGTCTAACATCTGATTTGTAAAGGATTTTCCAAAGTATGAGACCTCTGCTTCTGAAAGATTTCTTAAGCCAACCAAGTACATGGTTTGCTTTTGCAGCTGCTGTTTCAACTTGATGCTTGACTTTTAAGTCTTCTGAAACAAGAACACTTAGATCTTATTCAACTGAAATTATACCCAGTTCTTGTCTTATTCCCATCTGATCTGTCATTGTATAGACCTAGACTGATTTGTTTGAGCAACCTAGGTGCATGCATTTGCATTTGTCCAAGTTGTAGAGCATTAGCCACTTTTTGGACCATTCTACAGCTTCATCAATGTCTAGATGTGCTTTGTCCTCCTGTTTTGATTACACCTAGTATTTTGCTGTCCTCGTCATATATTTTGATTAGATATGTTGTCTGGTAGGTCATTTATGTAGAGAATAAAGAGCAACAGTCCTAGTACCGATCCCTGAGGCACTCCACTAGTTACCTCTTTCCACTTAGATTTAGCTAAGCCAACAACAACTCTTTGCTTTCGGTTAGACAGCCAGTATGATATCCACCTGAACAGTGAGCTGCATAAACCATAAACTTTTAGTTTATGCAAAAATCTTTTGTGCGACACTTTGTCGAAGACTTTCACAAAATCAGTGTATATCACATCTATGGGATAGTCATGATATATTAGTTCTTATAATAAAAATTAAAAAAAGCTACAGAATAGTATTGTGAACACTTAAATCCTTGCATATATCATCAATAATGACAATGAATGTATAACTAAATATTATGAATTTTTCAAAAAATATTTTTAATGTACCTGCAGCACCAATTAGGTTTACATTATCATTGGTATTTGTTATCTCACTTAAAACAACCATGACAAAACTATTGGAAAAAAAATAAGAATAAAGAATAATTTAGAATAAAAAGAATAGAATATAGGAAAAATAATAAATTTTAAACCATTTTTATTAAAGAATACTATATTTAAAATATATTATAAATATATATTCTTTTAAAACATGCAGTATAAGTTAAATTACAATATATTTATAAATATACTATAAATATATTTATAAAAATATTGTATTTTAACTTATAACTTATTTATGGCTAATATTACAAAATTTAATGTCTTTATATGGCCAACAGGAAGAACACTATGATTGAAAATGACTATGAAGAGCACTTATTTGATGATTTATAGTTTTGTTTAGAAAAAAAGAATTTCTTTTTTTAACTAGTCTAAATATAAAAATTTATTAAAAATTTTTCAATTTTTTTTTGTTTCAGGGTGCATATAAAAAAAAAAATCTATTCCCCTAGCAGTTAATGTTAAGAAATACCTGTAGAACCCTGAGAATAAGCCAGCTCTCCAACCAAACTTGCATCCATTTTTTACAAATCCCAAAATAACTCTACCATGGTATTGTCTCTTAGATACAAAAAAAAGTTTATTTAAAAAAATAAATAAATATTATACTTTTTTTACAGTAAGTTGTCACAAAACATGATATCTTGCATCATCATATTGAAGGATAAACAAAAATAAGTGTACTGTGATCAAAATAAACAAACTGTATATATATATATATACTACAGATTTGCACAACTTTTATTTAAATTTAAATGTTTTTAGTTTTAAAGAAAAAAAAAATTAATGATGAAAACAATTTTTTTATCTACCTTTTCAGGGTGTTAACCTGGAATAACTATGATACAGCGTTTAGACGAAATTGGGAATTTGTCAAAATATTTCCCAAAGCTAACCCCCACCCTCCTTGGTAAGAAACAATAAATAATAAACTTTAGTTTAGTATAAATAAATAAAACCGCTGTTAAATAATAATAACAAAAACGTTCTTGACCTGAAATTGATAGATTTTATACTTTAAAAAAGTAAGTAATGCTTTTTTAAAATGTTCAATGAAAATCTCTGCAGAATCTTTTACTTGATTATTTAAATTCTGCTTGACTAATTAATTTATTAATTCTGCTTTATGGACGAACCCTTACACCATCATGTAATAAATTGTGTCCTCAAAAGAAATGTTTTAAAAATAGAAAAAAAGAAAAGGTTTGAAAATAGTAAACAAAAACTCAAAAGTTTTATATTTCACATTTATTGCGATTTATTTTTATAATTAATATTAATTTTCTTTAGACACAAATCCCATAGCACAATAAAGTTACAACTACAAAATCTCAGCAAAAACAAACAACTAACGTCAACTAATTACAAAAAAATTTTAATCGCAAGCTCTTGCACGCTGTTGTGGCAACGAAGAATAGCAATAATTATTTTTTCATTCATAGTCATAAAATGTTATTAAAACTATGGTTCATTCAAAGATTTAAATTTGCTTTTACGTTTTAAATTTAAGCGAGCAGTGACTCCAGTTTTCTTGATTTTCAAATTTCTAGTTCCAGTTTGTTGTAATAAAAAAAATATATTATTGTTATTAAACATATTTAATTTACATTTTAATATACATATTTAATTTATGTTTTAATTAAAAGCAAGTAGTAAAGTAAAGAAATCTATTTTTCTCGTTTAATAAATTTATAATACCAGTTTGTTATAATCATAAAACATTTTTTGTATTAAACTTATATTTCAGAGGCGGTCTTTTAAAAAAGTTATTTGAGTAAAGATAGTAGATAAGTAAAAAATGATTTTAGTTGATGCAATGACGTAATTCAGTCGATGTAAAATACCATACAAACAAAAGATTAAAAACTTACAGTTAAATCTGTAATTGATCAAAAATGCAAAAGTACCTAACGTAGGCAGCTTCTCAATATTTTTGTTGACGAAGCACATGTACGACTTGAAGTAGATTTTGCAGTAAGACTTAATAATTTATTTACCTATTCAGCCAAAAAGAGAAAAACATTTAAATAAATTTCATTTTTGGGTGTCAAACCAAAACAAGTTTGATGTTTTTTAAGATAGTACTCAACTTCTTGCTAACTTTTATTTAAATATTTGTTGTTGTAGGAATGCATTGCAAAAAATGATTTTTTCAAGCAAATTGCCGAGAAAATTATTGCTGGGAAAATCTAATTCTCAAGAAGTTTTTTCCAATAGACATTCTTGATCGCGTAGTTGTACCAATAGCATCGTTTTTATTTCAAGTTTTACACAATTAATAAATTAGAGTTTTTGTTATTTTTCTAATAATTTTTGAAAATAATTGATTATCAATAATTTTTAGAATTATTAATAAACTTTAATTTGGAAAACTTTAATTAGAGAATGGGATTTTTTCACTTTTATATTGGGAATTTGAATTTTTTGAGCATTTAGGAATACTGCGTTTGATGGGGCCCCACGGAGCTAGTTTACACCCTGCTTTCTTATGCGTGGGATCTCTTTTATGTGTATTTACCAGTTGATATATATACACTTCTTTTTTTAATCCTTTTTTGTCGCCACTCTACAACTCCAACTCCTGATGTGTGTGTGTGTGTGTGTGTGTATATATATATATATATATTTTTTCAACATCGCATATATATATATATATAAATATATAAATATATATATATATATATATATATATATATATATATATATATATATATATATATATATATATATATATATATATATATATATATATATATATATATATATATTTGTAAAAATTTTAATAAAAATCACAATATTTTTTATTCTTGACATGTTTCGTAGTCTTACTACATTTTCAAAAGATTTAATTTACAATTAAAACTCTGGTAAATAAATTTAAAAACTGAAGACAATACAGAGAAATTATTTAAAGATTTTTTCTCTGTATTGTCTTCAGTTTTTAAATTTATTGACCAGAGTTTTAATTGTAAATTAAATCTTTTGAAAATGTAGTAAGACTACTAAACATGTCAAGAATAAAAAATATTGTGATTTTTATTAAAATTTTTACAAATATAAGGGCAATTCTGCAAGAAAGAGGGGGGGAAAAAAAAAGCAAAAAAAGTTATGCAAACACATACTAAACTCCATAACTCTTTTTTATAAATATTTAAAAATACTTTTAAGCTAAAGGTTATTTAAAAAAATCTTTTTATCATACCATAGCATGGTTTTAAAGTTGCAAGGGTGTATAATTGTGTTTTGACATTTATTTACAGTCCTGTTGTGTAGCGTTAAAAATCGTATTGTATAAAATCGTATAAAATCATAATTGAGAACTTTTATAATGATATAGTGCATTTTTTTAACATAATTTATATGGTTTTTAATAATCATTTATACTTTTCTTCTTACACCATTTCATCCTTATATTTGTTACTTTTTATATTGGATTATTTGTTACAACAGTCACAGTTATTACTGTCAGAGCAAAAAAAACATAAAAATGCTTGTAAAACAACAAATTTTTTTACCATGCCGTTCGCTCCATTAAGTCTGACAAAGTTTGTTCAGAAGTGGTAAAAAGTAAGAGCTACAACCGCTAAATTGAGTTTTTTGAAAAAAGTTTAAGACTTTAATGCTGTAACTTTTGCAAACTAAATGATATGATAGTATTTAACATTTCTAGAGATTTTTGAGTCATTTCCATTTTCGGTTCATTTTTAATAGCTTAAAGAGTGTCAAATGTTACAACCACCACTTTTGCAGAATAGCCCATATATATTTAAAATTATATTTACATTGAGTTAACAATAATTATTTTTGGTGCTATATTTATTATAGGTATATAGCAACTAAAATATATACACTTTTTATTATTACATTAAATATAAATTATATAAATTTATGCATAATATAAAAAAAATTTTATAAATTAATTAGAATTTAAAAAAAAAAATTGGCCTGATTGCAATTAGCCCCAATCTCTCCTACACAGTATAATACATACATGTGCATGAGTGACTGACTGGTAAACTTCTAACTTTGTATTTTCAATATGTTCAACTGCTCCAACACGACCACCAATCCTACCACCAATAAAAAAACCTGCTAGGCAGCCAGCTAAAATTGATTGATCTACTAACAAAGCTTTAGGATGACGCAAACCAGTTTGGCTGAAAATACAGAAAGCAAAAGGTATAGAAATAACTAGACAATAATTTGTCACTGCATATTTTTTTAAGGCTGAATCTCTATTCACAATAAAAGAAAAATACTTTACATTGTAAAACTCTGAAATAAATAATGTATTCACCTGTCTGTAGTAAATATTTTTAAAATTTTCTTTATTGTTCCTTCATTTTCTGGAACTGACATCCTAAATTCATTGGTAATAAACTATGTTTTTGGTAGAAATCAAAATGACCGGTTTACTTGTTTGACCGGTTTACTTGTTTGACCGGTTTACTTGTTTGACCGGTTTACTTGTTTGACCGGTTTATTTATTTTATTTTGCATGTAACGTTTTTGCACTAAATAAATAAATTTTTCATTACTATTGTTCATTTTATCTTTTGCCTTTTTTATATTAAACTTATATTTTACACATTTAAAAATTATCCCTTATAATTTACTTTATAGATTACATACTTTTATCACATATGGTTAAAGGTGGCACATATTTACAAGTTTAAAAATTTTTTATAGTAAAAAACAATAAACAAAAAAGACAAAATAAAACTTCACAAAAATTCAAAGAAACTTATTTGTGTAACTTTATTTGTTTCATTTATATTTTCTTGATTATTATATTAATAAATACTTAGTTAAAAAACTAAGTGCACATTTGTATGTATGTATGTATGTATGTATGTATGTATGTATGTATGTATGTATGTATGTATGTATGTAAACAGTACCTGCTTAAAATTTTCTTTGATAGGTAGGTTTTTGCTGATAGATAGGGGTTATTGGTGTTTAGTCGTTATGCGTAACTTTCTGTCATTCATTTTTGTTTTCGATTAGAAACATTTATAAAATATATATACTTTAAAATAATTTTTTTTTATAATTTCAATAATATAAAATTAAAAACTTCAAGTTGATTTTACCTATCATAACTCAAATTATAAATCATTTTTAGAGACCTACATTGTAGGCTTCTTTATAACTTAAATAAAGAATTTTCAGTTGCTTTTTTGTATTTTTTAAAATTATGGAGTCACATAATAACTCATTGAATGTTACGGTTGTTTTTTTAGATTAATAATGGGTAAAGTAAGCGATGTTTCCCTAAGTATATAAAACAAAATAGATGTTCTTCTGTAAGAAAAAGATCACACTCAAAGAAGCATTGCCAACTTGACAATGTCTTGCATGCTAAAAATGTTGCATGTTGCAGCTAAAAGAATAAAATTCAAACTTAAAATGGGGATCAAATTGAGCACAGAGAACAGGCTGCTGTGGTCAAAAAAGAATAACAAGTGTTAGAGATGAAAATAAAATCAAAAAAGTTATCGAACAAAATTGTAAAATGCCAGGAATAAAACTGAAAAGCATTTTAAAAGACCAAGGAATCAATATTTCTCTTGGATTTTTAAGAAGGAGAAGTTATGAGTTAGGATTTAAGTGTAGAAAATCTCTGAAGCCAATTTAGGCCTGCGATTAATTAAAAACATCTTGCCTGGGCTAAGAATTACTTTCCTTTTTCTCAAGATGACTGGATTAAGGTAAATTTTCTATTTTTTTTTAACAGACAATAGCAAACAATATTTTATTACTAAAAATTTTTAAAAGATATTTTTGCATAAATAACTTACCCTGATTGATTTTACTAATATTTGTAAGATTATTAACGTCAATATTGACAGCTTTATTCAGATTTTATTCGGCAATGAACCTACCTTGAGACTTAAGGAAACAAAGCCACATTTGTGCACCACAGACTAGGAGAACAACAGAATCAAAATGCACTCTAAACACTGTAAAGTACACAGCTTCCATAATGGTTTGGTCATGCATACTGAGCAGGGGTACCAAATAACTTTAGATTGTACAAAGGGCAATGAAACAAGATCAGTATAAAACTGTCTTGCAAAGTATGCTGATTCCACAGATATGAAAGTAGTTTCCTTGGTGAAAGATCCAAATATGGCGTTAAGATTCAGACAACTGATTGAAGCAAGACTTTGAGATCCAGATGTTAAAAAATTAACTTTCAAAGTGCATAAATAGTATGCCAAAGTGTATCAAAGCTCTTTTAGAGTTAAAAGGATTCAAAGAGAAGTATTCAGTTTTATAACATGGTTTGTAAATATCAATATATAAATTATATAACAAAAAAATGAAATGTTAACATATTTTTCTGTTATTTAATCTATTAATTTAGTCTAATCTTTGTGTCCAAAATGTGCTTTTTTTTTTTTGTTTTTTGTTAATTCATCTCCTCAAGGCCGACAAGGCAACTACAGACAAGGAGGCGACTTATTTGTGGTTATAACCCTCTCTCAACTAATACTCTGAAATACAAACCTTGACGAACAGGACCGCTGCGCGGAGAAACAAGTTAAGCGCGGTAGTACCAGGGATATGATGGGGATCAAACTCGAAACCTTTCGCTTATAAAGCAAGAAAAAAAAAAACTGAAAAAGAAATTTGAAAAATAAGTTGGAGTCTAATAATTTGAGCAGGTACTGTAAATTGGGGTGGTACTAAAGACAACATTTTTTATAAATGTCAGCTCTCAACTTTAAAATGCATTTTATATAATAAATAAATACTGGATTTAAAATTTTTTTGAATAAAAAGTATTTTTAGGAGTCGCTCAAGATCCTAAAATATCAGATGAGTTCCTTGTTTTTGTTGAATTAATAAACCCTAAAAAATCTAATATAATTATTGGTTGTGTATATTCATTAATGTCATTAGATGACTTAAATGCATTCTTTAATGTGAATAGATGACTTTCATATAGACATTCATTAATGTTAATAGACATTGTGTCAATAGACATTATCAAAAAAAAAGTCCTATAAAAAAAAATTATATAACAATTTTAAAAATAATTATTATTTTATAAAAAACTTATTTTAAATTTCACTGCCTAAAAAACAATACTTTTAAAATGAAAAATATGTGTATATATATATATATATATATATATATATATATATATATATATATATATATATAGCTATCACAGAGATTATGCTTTCTTTTTTTCTTCAAAAAAAATCAAGAATAAAGGGATAACAAAGGGGTAAAAAATAGAAAAAATGATAAATAAATAGAAAAATGGGTACATAAAGAATACTGATTGATAAATTTCTGATGGGTCCAGAATATATACACACCTTATATTCATATATATTATGTTTCAGAGTTAAAGAGAGGGTTGTAAACACAATAAAGTAACCTCCTTGACTGAAATGACTCTCAGCCTTAAGGAGGTAAATGCCATTAAAATGTATCTATGTATATGTATAACATTAAATGCAGATTTAGCTGTCCATGAAAGGTCACTTACAATATCGTAGTAATATGGAAAACCAAGAATTGATTGCAATACAAGTTTAAAAAATATACTTATTTTTTATTCCTATAAATCTTTTTTTAAATTCAATTTTCAAATTGTATTTTTTACTTTATTTTTTATTTATAGAAATATTTTTACATTTAAATATTAAATTATAAAATTTTTATCAAAAATAAAGAAAGCATGATAATATAAACTAAACTTTAATATTAGCAAATAAAAACTATTAATGTAACATAATAATTATCAATGTATTACACTTTGAAATTATAAAAATCAATATAATTAGTGACTTCAAATGATCTTAAAATATTTTTAACATAATAATTAGCAACTTTTTTTTTTAATAGATTGTAATAAAGCATTAGATCGTTTTCCAGGTGAAAATTCATGTAGCTGGATTCCAGATTCCTGGATTTCGGAGTTTATTGAATCATTTAATTTTTCAAATTTGGGCTCTACATAGATAGGTTTTTTCAGGATTGGCTCAATAGAACAACCAAACGATACATTGGGCTTATAACTATCAGAGGATAAAACTTCATTTTCATTAGAAATGTTAGAAGATGAAACTGTAACTTCATTCGACAAATTTGAGGACAAAGGTCTTTTCGATTCAATACCAAGCAACAATGCTGCTTGTTTAAAGTTCTCCTACAATTTTTAATGAATAAAAGTATAAAGATAAATACAATCAAGAAAAAACATTTGTATTAAATAAAACTAAAACACATAGGGGAGAGTGTGTATGAAAAAGCCAGTTTTTAAAATGTATGAAAAAAAGTCAATTTTGATTAATTTAAAAAAAAAAAATTTAATCTAAATTTTATTGGTTAATATTATAAAATTAAAATAAAATGGATAAAAATGCTGACAAATTGTCATACAACTATTTTTAAAAAAGAGAGGAATCAGCTATTCATAACATCTTGTCAATGAAGGAGCCACTCTGTGCTATGAATGAGCCGTAACAATTTTTACTAAAACTAACAAGTCTTTTGAGAGTAATAATCTATTAACTAGACTTCTAAAAATCTGATTGTACTTTAAGTTAAATAATTCTAAGATAATCAATGATAAAACAAATGATAAAACAGCTTTAATATTAGTTTCAATTTATTATTAAAAAAACATCCTTATATAATGTCAACGTCGCTTTTCGTAGTTAATACTTGTGAAAACATGTTTGTTATTTTAAGATAAAAAATATAAAATGAAAATGAAAAAATCAAAAGTATTATTATACACTAGTAAAACCTTTATTAAAAAAAATTATATACACTAGTCAGAAGAACAAATTGTCTTGACTGCATCTTGACGATAAATGTTATCTATGAATCATAGTGATTATAAGGCATTTTACATACATTAACTATGCTCAGGCCTGGATTAACCAATAGGCAAACAAGGCATATGCTGTGGGCACCAAGTATTTGGGGGCAAAATTCTAAGATAATTCTATGATAATCAATTATAAAACAGCTTTAATAATAGTTTCACTTTATTATTAAAAATATATCCTCATATAACGTCAACGCCGCTTTTCGTAGTTAATATTTGTGAAGATATGTTTTTTTTTTTAAAGATAAAAAATATTAAATGAGAATGAAAAACACAAAAGTATTAATATACACTAGTCAAACGTTTATAAAAAATGTATTACATTAGTCTTACTTAAATGTATTACTACATTAGTCAAAAGAGCAAATTGTTTTGACTACATCTTAAAGATAAATGTTATCTACGAATCATAGGGATTATAAGACATTTCACATATATCAACTATGCTACAATAATATAAAAGTGAATACAATAATACAAAATAAGTTTTGACAAAATGTTAGGAAGTTTGAAACAAAAATAAATTTTAATTATCAAAAAAAATTATTTAAACTTTATTAAAAACGTTATTAGTATTTGAATATATTTTTCAAGATTCAAATGCACCTACGTTTTACAACTTTAGGAAAAGTCAATTAAACAATTAATTTCAATACAATATGATCAATGAAGCATTATGAAAAACAATGAGGTCATTAAAGCGCAAAACAATTATTTAATTTAAAAAAAAGCTAAATAGAAAAGGCCGGCATTTTCATAGAATAAAAAAGTGGCTCTTTCAAAAAATTCTATTGTAAAAAAAATAACCTGAAACTAAACATTTTTTACCGAAACTTTAATCTAATATTATTTGTGGAAAAAGAGGACACATATATACAAAACAATGCAGCATATATGTTTTATCAAATAATACAATACTCTTTATGTTAAAAATAAATAAGTAAACTCCAAAAAAATTACTTTTTACTTTCAAAATTTTTAGTGCACCCTTTTATTTTAGCAGAACTCTAAATTTTTTGTGGGTGACAGGTATCCAGCGTTGCCACACAAAAAGTAAAATAAAATTAAGGTCAGGTACCAGTAAGTTAGATATAATGGCATCGGCTCTAATGGCATACACTCTCCCCTACTAACAAGCAAAAAATACAAAAAACAATTAAATTTTTTATAAAATACAAATTTATAAGCATAAAAAGATATTAAAAATAAAAACATTAAATGATTATACAACCATCAAGTAGAAATACCAATAATAATTTCTAGTAATAATTACCAATAATAACTTTTGATAATAACAAATATCAATAGGTTTTAACATATAAAATCATGCATACATAATTAAAAACATACATACAAACATTAAAATGTAAAAAAATACCACAAATACATAATGATAATTACAAACATACATATAAACATTAAAATGTAAAAAAAATACCACAAATATATAATGAAAAAGATTTTATTTACATAACTATATTTTATTTTAAAAATTTAGAAAATTCTGTAATATTCTTGTAATATTCTTAGATATCAGTAAAAAATTTCTTTGAAACCTGAATAAGAGAATTTTGTAGAGAAGGTAAATCAACACCACAATAACAACTATTAATAACTGCATACTGAAGCATTGCACACCAATGTGCATCCTACATTAAAACACATCATATAATCAGAAAGAAAAATATTTTTTGGTAGATATGATCAATGAGATAAATGCTTTTTATCTCAGTAAACACATCTACCAAAGAAGTTATATAAAGAATATATTAAAGCTAAATTGTGTAAATATCTTATATAAACTGTTCATAAATTATTTACAGTTATGTAAAAAAATAAAAAATAAACGTTTATACATAAAGGGGCATCACAACATATAAGTTTGTAGTTCACAACTTGTAAACAAAAAATTAAGTTATAGCGTGGGACATCACACTGCATAATTATGCAGTTTACTTCTTGTAAACAAAATTCCATCCAAACAAATATTAAACAAAAAAAAAAACTAAGTAAAAGTTTAATAATTTGTTAAAAAAATTAATTAAAAAAATTATTACCATTTAAAAATAGAATAAAATAAAAAATAAAGTAGACAACAAAATTAAAATAAAAAAGTAAAAGAAAATACTAACATAACAAAGAACAATAGGATTGCCAACAATAATAAGCAGTGACTGTGATCGAGTAATAGCTACATTAAAACGTTTAGGATTGCTAAGAAAACCTATATTATGACGAATGTCAAAATCAACTAAATCTTCTTTTGAACGAACCTACATTTTCACATAATAATGAAAAAATAAATATAGACTCAAAAAATTAAATAGATAAGCACAAAAAAAAATCACAAAGCACAAATTTACTGTAGAAATAATGATGCACTCTCTTTCCTGTCCTTGAAACTCTTCGACTGATCCAACCTTAATATCGTTAAGGTCAAACTGGTCTAATAGAGCGCGAATTTTTTCCACCTAAAAATATTTTTTTATAAGTTTTTTTATGTTTTTTTTTTTAATATGTAATTTTTAGTATTTTAAATTGTAAAATTTAAAACCTGTTTTTTGTAGGGTGTGATAATTCCAATATCATCTTGTTGTAAACATTGTTCGCCCATGATAATTTGGACATACTTAAGTACCTGCACAGCTTCAGCAGGATTAAAATAAGAAGGACTATTTCCTTCTCGAAAATCTTCTCCCTACAAAAAAAAAAAGACAATGAAATCCTTCAGCAAAAAAACATGTTTTTCATTTATACTTGTTGAGAAAAAAAAACTGACCCTGACACCATGAAAAACAAAAGGAACTTCTTTATTTGGAAGAAAAAAAGCCCCAACAAACTTATTAACTTTTCTTTCATCAGCGCATGGTATAAGTTCACGATTATAAAATATGTTGGAAGATAGACGAAGCAATGAAGCATGGGATCTTAACATCAATCAGAACTTAATTAAATAAACTTTTTACATAAAATTTAGTAAAAAACAAAATAATAATATTAGCATTTACAACAAGAAAAATATATGAAAAATATCAAACTTTTATTTTATATTAAATGCTCACCTATAATTATTTACCAACTTTGTAATTACAAGAGGATTATACCCACCAACGTCAAAATAGTCTTTTTCATTTCTTTCATAAAGTTTTAAAAAAGTCAAGCGCTCTAAGTAAGATATTCCAAGTCCATATTCATTTGCAACATCTGAACGAAGTACTGCACCTAGTTGAAAGGGATCACCTGCTAATACAATCTAAATTAGAAAATTCAAAATATTATGACAAAATAATTATGTAATAAAAAAAAAAAAAATTTTAATCAATTGATATCTATATAAAGCACATTACTTGTGATTCATCACAACCTGCAGCAAAACCTACTGGAACCAAACATTCGGGTTCTGTTGCTTGTCCAGCCTAATTATACAATCATATAAAAGTATATTAGATGTTTATTATAACATATTATTATAATATATTTATAATATTTTATATTTATAAATAAGTTTGTTGATTTTCTGTTAAAATTGCTAATTGTTTTAACAGAAAATCAACAAGCTTATTTATAAATATAAAACTTATTTATAAATATAAAATATCTGAAGCAAATTGGTTTAAAACTTTGTGGACTGATGGGACTTATTTGTACCACTACATTAACTATTGTTTTTCTCTTAAACTAATTGTTTTTTTTTCTGTAAAAACATTGCATAACTTTTCCTTAGGTTTTTAGTCATGTTTTAAAATTACATTTAACTGTTTGTCATCAACTATTTCATCTTAGATGTGATGTCTAATAATTGTTTTTAAGGCCTAGTAATCTATAAAAGTAAAACAAATATATTTATATTTACATTTTTTAGAGCTTGTTTTTTTTTTTTAGTTTAACTTCGCTTCCAACAAGGCTGCAAGCAACGACTAATTAGTGTTGGAAGTTATTGGAAGAGAAAAGATGAAGATTGTAGCGCAAGATAACGATTGACAGATGACTTAAAAGATTGCAAATAATATGAATCAGGAAAGCAAGATGAAGGAAGCGAATTCCAAAGAACTGATGTTCGAGGAAAAAAACTAGACGAATAAGAGTTTTTGGAGCACTTAGGAACAGTAACAGAAAAAAGATGACACTTAATTGAATGACGAGTAACACGAGAATGAATTTTAGTAGATGGCACAAGAGACACTAGCTCTTTCAAGCAGTGCCCATTATAGTATTTGTAGAAAAGAGAAAGAGAAGCAACATTACGACGATGTGACAGAGGTTAAAGGTTGGCTGCAAGAGCAGGTCCAACTATGTTTACAATGCGTTTTTGCACTTTGTCCTAAAGAGAAAGGACATCATTAGAAGATCCGCCCCAGATATGGCAACAGTATTCCATACAAGGCCGGATTTGAGATTTATAGAGATAGAGAATAGAATCCAGAGTAAGAAAGTGACAAGCTTGATAAAGAGAAGCAACTTTAGCAGATGCTAATTTTGCAACAGATTTGATATAAGGTCTAAAAGAAAGATCAGAAGTAAGAGTTAATCCTAGAAGATGAAGGATAGGAGACTCAACGAGTACATTACTGTTCATAAATATAGGTCTAAACTATTGCAATAACGATTGGCTGAAAACATTGAGTTTTATCTGAATTAAAGTTCACCAGCCACTGTGAGCCTCATGCTGTAGCAGAAGTGAGATCCTTTTTAAGCTCAGATGCCCCCTGGAAGCAATTAGAGGGAGTTGCCTTCTTATCGTGACGAGAATAAATGGTAGTATCATCAGCGAACAATGCCACCTTAGATGTGAGAATATCTGGAAGATTGATAATGTAAATTAAAAAGAGTATAGGCCCAAGGATTGAACCTTAAAGAACCCCTAAGGTTACAGAATAAGAAGAAGAGTGCTGTCCATCAAGGACAACTTTTATACTACGATTGGAAAGAAAGGATTCAATAATCTTAAAGATGTTTCCAGATACACCGTAAGAAGAAAGCTTATGGAGAAGACCAGCATGCCAAACTTTATCAAACGCTTTAGAAATGTCAAGAGCAATGGCCTTAACCTCTCCACCTTTATCTAATGCGCGATAAAACCTATCGGTTATTACTGATAGCAAATCAGCCGTAGAACGACAAGATCGAAATCCATATTGATGATCAGAAAGTAGGTTATGAGATTCGAGATTCGAGATTAAGTGTTTGTTAATTAAAGATTCAAAAACTTTGCTTATGATAGGAAGAAGACTAATGGGACGGTAGTTAGACGAATCGGATCGCTCTGCAGAATTTTTAAAAATAGGGATAACAGATGCTGCCTTCCAGCAGGCTGGAAAACAAGACTCTGATAAACACTTGTTGAATAGTTTTGAAAGGATAGACGACAGCTCAGGAGAACACTTCTGCAAGACTATAACAGGTATGTTGTCCGGGCCGCAAGCTATAGAAGAGTCTAAGCGGGAAATCACTTTAAATACAAAAGCTGGAGTGATACGAATGTCGAGCAATGGATCAACCTGTTTGACGGCTATATCAGGTAAAACACAACTAGTGTCATCAAGAGATGATATTGATGAAAAGTTCTTGGCAAACAATTCAGCTTTGTCTTTATGTGACGCGACAAAGTCTGAACCATACAAAAGAGGTGGAATTACACACTTGCCCTTTTTATTGATACTAATAAAGATTCTCCAGAAGTCACGAGAGCCTAATTTTTGTGATGAAATACAAGATTTCATGATCTGAGAATAGTGGGCTTTGGCATTAGACAAAACCTTTTTACAATGGTTCTTAGCAGTAATAAACAGACGTCTGTTTTCTGGAGAATTGTTTTGCTGATAGATATGGAAGTAATGGTTTCGATTGGCGATTGCAGCAGCACAATGTGAGGAAAACCATGGAGAAGAGTGAGGCTTGACCTGGAATCGTCGAGAGGGAATAAAGGATTCCATGCCAGCCTGAATCCACGAAATTATGTAAGAAGCACATTTGTCAACAGGGAGACGAAAGATTTCTACCCAGGGGCCATCACAAAGAAAATCACGGAGATGATTTTCTTCGTGATGGTAGATGTACGATGATAGGGGGATTCTGATGGTAAAGAAGAATGAGATAATAGTTTTAGAGAGACCAATCCATGATCAGAAGCACCTAAGGGTGAGTGTGAAGAAACTGAGCACTGACTAGGATCAGAAACAAGACATAAGTCGAGTAGAGAAGGTAAATGATTCGGGTTGTCTGGAAAGCGAGTTGGGAAGTTGACTATTTGAGTTAGGGATTGAGAAAGACAAAAGTTGTGGGCCTTAATGCCTGCAGAGTCACTGACACAAGAGCCTAGCCATTCAGTGTGATGAACATTAAAGTCACCGACAACAACAATTTTGGCTGATGGATAAAGAATGAAGGCTTGGTCAATATAATCAGAAATAACATCAAGAAGAGTGCAGTCTTGAGATGAGGGAGAGCGATATATAACAAAGAGAAAGGTGATAGAGTGATGTGGTGCTAAACGAAAGCACATAAAAGAGTAGTCTGTGGATTTAAACCTAGTTTCCCGACAAATGGGTGAATTCTTATGGATGTAAATGCCTAGGTCAAACATGTGACTATTGGAGTCTTTACGAATTAAAGGAAGATAACCATCAACACTAAGATCACAAGATGAGACAACTGAACTCAAATTAGTCTCACAAAGAGCAAGTAGGTCTGGTGAACTTTGCAAGAGACTTTGCAAGACTCAACAGAAGAAAAGTTACTTCGAAGACCACGAATATTGGTGAATGATAGGTTTAGTGAACTTGGTGATGACTGTGGTTTTTTGTGTTTTATAGTTTTTGTTACTTTATTCATTTTTAAATTTGTTAAAGAACTTGACTCGAAACATAGATAGTACTCAGTACACTGTCTTATAGCCCAAGCAATTGCCTCATTTCCACTAATAAACCCTAAGCCATAACAAAGGGCTCCAATATGGCCTCGGCAATGCACACCAAAAGTACAAACAGGGACACCATCCATGTGCAACATGGCACTGTTAGCACTCTGATATTTTTTAGCTGTTGATGGAGTCAGCCTCTCTGAGAGCTACCACAGAATTCGGGAAACCTGACTACCAGCCGGCCACAAAACCATAAAACTGAGTTTTAGAGCTGTACCCTCATTTGGAAATAATAGAATGAGTTGCCTAGTCATAAAAACAGAGACAAAAGCAAAACCATGAATTGAGTCAAGAAGATCCAGCGTTCAACATCCTAAACTGGAAACAATGTATTAAAAATACATCTGCGCCAGCCTAATAAATGAAGAAGGGGTGCGTTGCTGGTCAACAGATAGAATCTGTTTACCCCTTCAGATTCTATCTGTTTACTTAAGTAATAGTTTTACAAAATCTTCTGTGAAACTAAATAATCTGATTTTGATTCTCTTTTTGAACAAAATGTTCCTATATGATTGTAATAAAAAAGAGAATCAAAAAAAATGAACAAAATGTTTGATCCTATTGAAATTGAACAGTAGCTAATGAAAACTATATACAGCATTCAGATAATGAGTTGGTTAATAATGATACTGACATTGAAAATAATGAAATAGATTCTAAAATTGAATAGGATGGTGATAAAAAGTAACAAAACCATCTTTTTTCATCTTTTTGTTAATTCAGAAGCTGGAAGATGTAACATAAGATGTTTGCTCAAAAGAAAAGATTGAAGAACATATTTTAAATGCACCATTTGTAATTTTTTTTTGTGTATAAATGAAAAAATTGTTTTTCAAAATATCATAACATTTAGATAAATTTAATTAAAATGTATTTAATAACAAACATTTGGTTTTTCTTTATTTAATATAAACTTTTTTTAAAAAAGAGCTTTTATTGCCTGAAGAAACATAATAGTCCCACTTCAGTTTCCATGATAATGATGGCACTTATATGCTGAAAAAATGTGTGCTGTCTATTACTGGACACTAATTAGTATATTTAAATTGTATATTTCATGAAATACTAGAATTTTCCACCCTCTGACCTTAAAAGTTTAATCTAAAGTTTTTAAAAAAGCTTTTGCGATATGATTACAATCAGTAGGGCTTGCATTGATTAGAATCAAGAAAAAGTAAAATGTAGGGCAAACAATATCATCATGCCATATAACAAAATATTGATAGAACAATATGATTAGGCCAAAGTAAGATTAGACATCTTATTTTGTCTGTTTTTGTTTTCTAAGCTTTTTTTTTATTGGATATTATCTTTTTATTACTCTCTTATATAGTTGGACAAATTTTATTATTTAATTTATATTTTTATATCCATGAAATTAAACTGGTCCTATTGGGGCAGGTGAGACTCCTTAGCTGTGGCCAAGGTAATCTTGATAACTTACAGAGAATCATCAAAATAAACATTAAATTAAATGATCTAAAAAATATTTCTTTTTAAATATTTTTAATTTACTCTAAACATTAATAAAATAATTTAAATAAAACTACCTCATCTACAAAAATATGGGTAAAATGGCCAGACTTTAAATTAAATGAATACAAGAAGCCAGCCATGCTGCATGTTGTTACTATGATTCTAAGACGAATTGCATAACTTATGTTATCAGAATCATTAACATAATATTGCACAATACATTCAGGAAGATTTAGCATACTACGTTGAAAGGCACATAACCGAACCATATCACTTTTGTTTAAAACACCACTGTTATGAAGTCTTTCAACCTAATTTTGCATAAAAAAATATATAACTAATTTAAACATTTTAGAAATAAACTCTATATCATGCACTAGAAGAGCATGATATAGATTTAATTTCTAAAAGCATAATATAGAGTTAAATTTCTTAAATGCTCCTGCAGTATTGTGCAGTGTATCGTATTTAAAATATATTTTTAAATGATTATTTAGATTTTTTCTTAGTTCTTGATTTAGATTTTGATTAGTTTTTTAAATGGTAAAATAAATGCAAACAATTATAATTACATATAAATATATACACATGTAAATGTATGCACCTTAAACACATGTATATGTATGCACATTACATTTGCAAATTATTTTCAAATATTTTGGAAACCATTTGCAAAACATTTACAAATCAAAAATAAAGAACTTACAATTAGATCTGCAGCAGAGTTGGAAGGTGCACAAACAAGAATTCTACTGTGTTTGATTTTTGTAAAGATCTGTAGAACTGATTCTACAACTGTCACTGATTTTCCAGTTCCTGGAGGACCAAATAAAATGTATGGCAATGGCCGTCCACAACCTGCAACGATTCTTTGAACAGCATCTATTTGTCGCTTATTCAATGTTTTGTTAAAAGGTTTAAAAGCAGCTAGTCAAAAAAAAAATTAATAAACAACTTATATAATATATATAATATTATATATAACTTATTAATTATATATAATATTATATATAACTTATATATTATATATAACTTATATATTAAAATATATATCTTTTTTAATAGAAGATGAAATTTAAAACAACTTGTTTATTCAATAATATGTCAAAAGGTTTAAAGACAAGTCAAAAAAAAAATTTTTTTTAGTAATTTTTAATATAGATCAATTTTAAAACAGAACTAATGTATTACATTTATTAATAGCTTAAAAAATATAAATTAAAACAATTATTAACATAATTACAATCATATATTATAGAGTTAATGGGAATTTTGGAAATCAATATTCCCTGAGTTTTCCCTGATTTTCTCATATTTTCAAGGATTTTCTCATATTTTCCCTGAATTTAGTTGATAATAACTATATAATTTTCTTGGATAAAACACTTTTGCAGAGTTATAAAACAAACAGAGTTATATTCAAGCTGTTAATTTAAAAGTCTCTTTCGAGTCTTTTCACTCATATCTAGGTCAAGACCAAAGTCAAACATACTCATAAACCAACTAAATCCCATTTAATATATAAAACATTGTACAAACTAACCTACTCAGTGTGCACCATTTCATATTTAAAACATGGTATAAACTAATCTAATAAGTATTCACTTTCATACTTGCAACATAATATAAACTAACCTACTAAGTATGCACAAATGGTAATAAAAAATTAATTTTTAAATACATGAATGCATTATATTTCAACTAAATACATGCTTTTTTCTTACATTTGCTAAAGATCAAATAGTGTCGATCGCTTCAAAGCAAAATTCGATCAGCTTTAATAATTACTACAGCGCATCATCTTCCATGCAATTTCGCACGAGCTAGCACGGCTAGCTGTTGATGGGCTTACGGAACACGCCCGCTCCGTGTAATTTAACTTTAACTAACTTAACTAATTAACTATGTGAGAATCGATCTGCAAATATAAAAGGCTATCAGACATCGAAACCCAACGAGGATGCAGCAAAACGTTTTAAAAGCAAATATAAAAACAAGGCTTTTGCAATTGAGAAAAAAATTTAGAAATAATGCATTTTGTCTTTTTGCTGCTAAACTTTTCAATTTAAGAAATTACCATATTGCATTTTGGCAAATGATTAAAAGCAATTTGCTACATGTGAGTTATATAAAACATGAGAGTGCTGTAAGGCAATTGATATGTGGGAGTGAAATTGCTGTAAGTTATACAAATGTTCATTAGTGAAACTTTTAGAAATTATTAGTAACTATTTTTTAAAAACTAATTTTCAAAAAGTATTAAAACTTCAATTATTTACATAATAAACCAACCTAAAAATAATAATATATTAAACTAAGTGTTTAGTGTATGTATTTACATTTATCCCATAATAAGTTAATATTAAATCAAGAAAAACTTACTTTTTGAAAAATCAACTAATGGATATTTCTTCTCAACATTAACAGGAAATAGAACTGTTCAATAAAAAAAATTCAGTTTTAATTAAGAATGATGTATAAGACTGCATAAGTATCATGTAAGACTGAGTTGTATGAGAGTTGAAAAAAATAATAAAAAGAGAGTTATAAAAGGTTATAAAAAACTTAGTTATAAAAAAGTTGTACAAGAGTGTATTCTAATTTAGTTTTTTATTATCATTTAGGGTGCTATAATGTACGGTGTAGAAATACATTTTAATAATATAAGAGTTAATACATGTTAAAGAACTTTTAACATAAATACTTAAAAAATGAAAAAAAACTTTAAAGGCTAAAATTATATTAAAAACCTTCTTCTCCAAGATGAATTGCAAATTCAATGGCTTGATGAAATCTTCTCAATGGTGTTCTAAAATTTAAATATACAGTGTATTAAAAAAACATAAACTAACTGCAGTAGTGATAGAGCACCCATTTCATAAGCAAGAGGTACAGATTTCAAACCAACAATGTCCCTAGAAGTACTGCACTCTACTACTTTGTTTTCCATTTATTTCTCCATTCTTTGGTCTTGTTTACTCCCACCCATTGGCCTTGTTTATCAAGAGTTTCAGAGGGTTAAAAAAAAAAGTAAAACAATCTTTAGTTTCAAAAAGTTCAAAACAATCTTTAGTCCAATGACCCTGCTTCTCCAGACCGATATAGTAGAACCTTGAAAATATCTGATACCGTGAATACTTAAAAAACTATGAAGAAAAAATAAACCAAAACATATGCCTAATTTTAGTAAATTTTGCTGAAAATTTTTACTTAAAATATAAACACTTGAAAAATTGAATATATAAAAAACCTTTATAGAAGTTTTAACTAATTGTATTAGTGCATTTGAAAAAATTGGAAATAAAAAGAGATTAGATAGATGAGAGATAAGTCAATGAGATTATAAACTTAAGATTTAAACTTCTTACTTTTATTTGTAAAGAATTTGATAAGAAAACTACTTTTTAATGCACAATGCTTGGACCCAAATTCACTTAATAGATAAAAATCAATCTTTTAAATTTTCAAATTTTTTTATTAGTGTAGCAACTGTAGACTTGAAAAATTTTTTATGTTAAATTATAATTTCTGTTTCTATGTTTTATTGTAGTTCCCTCAAAAATGGAACTACAATAAAACATTTAAAAAAAGTATTTTAAGTTTATTATAAGTTTTTTTTTTAATTTTTTTTAAAAAAAAGTTTTTTTTAAAAATTCAAATTAAGATTACTTTGATCGACTAATGAAATTTAACTTTTTTTTTTTTTGTTTATCTTATCAAACAATAGCATTGTGACGTTTTTGAAATTTTTAACTTGGCAGCAGTTCTGATTGACCTTCTTTGTGGAGAATAATGATTGCTGAACGAGTTTCAACACTAAGTTCATTCAAGTTTTACCCATATTGATATATATACCCTAACCCTGACGGAAAAAAACACATACTGAAACTTTTTAGTCCCTGTGTAATGAGGTCTCCGGCGTATTCAAAGCAAGATGGCCTGATTTCAATTTATCAACTAAAGACACATTTCCAACTTATATCCACTTAAATCTAACTAATCACGTAATCCAATAATCTAAACATAAAAGCTATTTCTTCTAACTAATTCTATTTCAAAAAACCAAATATGTCTGAACAATCAATGGCAAATATCAAATCCCTTCTAGATAATCAAAAAAATGAAATTCTACTTGCTATCAATACAAGTTTGATAAAAATAACTAATGATATTTCTGAACTGAAAGCTACATATGCTGATAATAAAACTACAGAAGCTAAGAACACAAAAGATATTACTGAACTACATAACCAACTCCTCAACTTATCCAAAAATAATAAATTACTTTTAGAAGAAAATTAAAAATTAAAAAATGACTTAGATGACCAGGTTAACAGAAACCTAAGGAAAACACTTATATTTAAAAATATCCCTTATGAAAATAATATCAAAGAGTCCTGGAATGACACAAAAAATATTGTGGCTAATACTATTGCCAAAGCAGCGAATGTAGACCCAAGATCTATTCACGAAATGATTGAACGCTGCCATTGTGGAAAAGTTACTAACCGCCTTAAACCAAGTAATGTTTTTGTTAAACTTCACAGATGGTCCGATAGCGAAAATACTAAAAGAGTGTTTGCAACAATATACGAGTTGAGCAGATGTATTTAAAATCACTAACTGAACGCCGCAATGAAGCAATGAAGGAACGTCGAAGATTAACTGAAGAAAAATCGTAAATGCATTCCTTGAATATCCAACTGTATTAAAGGTCAAATATAAGAAATCCGACTCAAAATATTCAACAATAAAATCGTTCTAAAACCTACGAATATCCAAAGGTTTATTTTCTTATTTATTTTGTTATTTAATGTTATTTATTCATGTTTACGCCGTATATATTTATTTATTAGCACACAGTTCTTTTTATTTGTTTATACTCAATACAGTTTTGTGTACATACAGTTATAAAAATTAAAAAAAGTTATATAACAAAACAAAAAAAAAATTAAGGACTTTTCAATCTAAGCAAAAATGTGCGATTAGTTGATAAGTATACTCAAGGTCAGATTGCTTTCAATAAATTGTTAGAAAGCTCACTTACCATTTTGTTTTTGTTTTTGTTTATTATTCATCATTATTTTAATATTTACTTTTTTATTACTAATATTATTCATAACTTTTCTTAATTTTTAATAGGTTGCTGCTACTTACGTTCATATAAATATTGTTACTTATATATCTTATCGCCATAACCATTCACTGTAATAAAAACTACAAATAGCATATGTGCTGTTTGCAAACGTAAATGTCAATAAAAATCAGAAAGCCATCTTTTGTGATAGCTGCCTTAATTGGGTCCACCTAAAATGTAACAATCTCAATGATATTGATTACCAATTACTAAAAAATTCCTCAAAAAATTGTTCTTGATTTTGTATAAATTGTTTAGCCAGTATTTTTCCCTTCAATAAAGAAACTATAATTGACAACGAAAATCTTACTAATGTTGACACCAAAGTAAATGAGATTTATCAAGTATCAGATTTCCCCATATACTCAATATTTAACACATTTAATACACATGTTGATAACAATAACAAATCCCAAAATCTCCCAATAAACAGTTATTATACTAATGTTGATGATTTAAAATGTATTGCAGCTGACAAATCCTCATTCAATGTATTTCATATCAATATCTCATCACTCTCAAAACATTTTGACGACCTTGAAAATCTACTCCAATCAACAAAACTTGAATTTGACATAATTGGTATATCAGAAACTAGACTGAATAAAAACAGGTCTCAAACTAGCAACATAACACTTAATGGGTATTCCCATGAACACACACCATCTGAATCACATGCAGGTGGTGCATTATTATATATAAATAACAGGCTCGCCTATAAACCCAGAAATGATCTCCTCATCTATAAACCAAAAGAGCTAGAATCTATCTTTATTGAAATCATAAATCCAAAAAAATCAAATATTATCGTTGGCTGTATCTACAGGCATTCAAAAATGTCTTTGGACAACTTCTTATCCTTCTATCTTAATCCTTTACTCAAAAACTTAACAAAAGAAAATAAAACTATATTTATTTTAGGAGATTTTAACATTGATTTGTTAAAATGTGACACAGATTTATATGCAAAAGACTTTTTAGACTCACTCACCTCAAATTACATTCTTCCTCACATTATCCACCCTACTCGTATCTGTAAAACATCAAAAACATTAATTGACAATATCTTCTCAAATATTAAATCAAACAAATATAAAGCTGGGAATTTTACCACCACAATCTCAGATCATCTTCCCCAATTTCTAATAGCTTATAATATTCTTAAACCACCACCTAGCAAAAAACTCCTAACCCAGAAAGAAACTGGAAAAGTTTCAATGAAGTATCATTTAAACACGATTTTCACAAAACTATTATAGATAAAGAACCAAAAATATACCCTGATAACTGTACTCAGTCTCTCGAGAATACTATCTCCAATATTAATTTGTTGCTTGATATCCACGCGCCTTTTAGAAAGCTTAACAAAAAAAATATTAAATTCAAGAATAAACCATGGATATCTGATGACCTCAAGCACTCTATACAGTACAAAAACAAGCTCTTCAAAAAATATATTAGGTCTAAAAATCAAACAAATAAAACCATATTCCACAATGAGTATAAAATATTTCATAATAAACTCCAATCTAAACTCAAAGAAAGCAAAAAAAATTACTTTGATAATTATTTTACTGAAAACATAAAAAATATAAAGGCAACCTGAAAAGGTATCAAAAACATCATTAATATTAAAAGCAACTCTCACACAACTCCTAATGTAATCTCGTACACAACAATATAACAATAACAAACCCCTTTGATATTTGTAATACATTCAACAACTACTTTACTGGCATTGGTAGGGATGTTCAGGCAACAATTTCTTCATCCATGAATCATTTCACATATTACTTATCAAATCCTTCTCAAAAATCTTTCTTTATAAAACCTACTGACGAACATGAAATTTCAAAAATTATCAACTCTTTAGACTCAAATAAAGCTTCTGGACCAAATGGTCTACCAGTTAAAATTCTAAAACTATTAAAAACTGAACTTTCAAGAATTCTTTCTAACATTTTTAATACCTCATTCTCAAGCGGTACTTTCCCAGAAAACTTAAAAACTGCCAAAGTTATACCTATTTTTAAAAATGATTCAAAACTAATAATATCAAACTATAGGCCAATTTCCCTCCTCTCCAACATTGATAAAATTCTTGAAAGGCTAATGTTTAACCGCTTATACGAATACTTTAATGAAAATAAACTGTTTTGTGATCTACAATTTGGTTTTCGAACAAACTACTCTACATCACTTGCTTTACTAAGTCTAACAGAAAAAATTAAAAATTCTCTAGATGAAGGAATGTTTGGATGTGGTATTTTTATTGATCTTCAAAAGGCATTTGACATTGTAGATGTTGACATTCTACTCTATAAACTATCCTACTATGGTATTAGAGGAGTTTCAAACTCCTGGTTCAAATCTTTTCTTACTAATAGAACTCAATTAGTATCCATTGGTGGAGTGAACTCAAACTTAAACGATATCAAAGTAGGTATTCCTCAGGGATCTGTCCTTGGCCTTTTGTTGTTTCTTATTTATATAAATGACATGTCTAAAGCATTAAAATTTTGTCGAGTCCAACACTTTGCAGATGACACAAACTTTCTCTACTTTAATAAATCTGTAAAAAAAATCAACAAATATGTTAACTATGACCTTAAGAAACTATGCAATTGGCTTAATGCAAACAAAATTTCCCTCAACTGCAAAAAAACTGATTTAATATTATTTAAAAGTCCCCACAAAAAATTAGACCAGCAGATCAAAGTTAAATTAAATGGGAAAAAACTTTGTTGTAAAAACTTTGTAAACTACTTGGGTATAAAGCTAGACGAAAACTTAACCTGGGCTTATCATTATAACAATACCTCTAATAAGTTGAATAGATCCCTTGCCATTCTGTCGAAGCTAAGACATTTCATTCAACAAAAAACTTTAAAATCTATTTTCTATGCTTTATTTCACTCTCATCTCATATATTGCCTTTTATAATGGAGTCAAATTATGAGTATTATTAATCGCCTATTTATCATGCAGAAAAAAGCAGTCAGAATTATTGAATTTCTTCCAAAAAATTCACATACATCCACATCTTTTAACACATTACATATCTTAAAAGTGCATGATTTAATCAAAATTGAAAATCATATATTTATTCACAGTTGCCTTAATAAAAAACTGCCTCCTATATTTTATGAATGGCTTACTCCAAGCAGTGCAATTAGCAGTCGATTT